ACTTACAAATTTTATACAAAATAATATTTTTTTTCCAATATTTTGATATATATTATATAAATATTAAGAAATGTTTTTTTTTTTTTTGACAACATACAAATATATTCACAAACGGGAAAAAAAATGCTGACACAAACTTTTTTATAACTATTAAGAAATGTGTTTTCTTTATAAACAACAAATTTTTATATACGGGAAAAAAGGTTAAGGTTGTTTCAAATTTTTCAATTTTTTTTTTATAAAAGATACCACACAAAAATTATTGTTGAATAGGTAAAAACATTTTATTGTTGATCCAAATATTTTAATAATAAACGTTATTTTTGTAAACAAATTTTTTTAATTATTATTTCAAATATTTTTATAAGCGATATTAAAATAAAATTAATGTTTATATACCCATAAAATCTATTGTTGATCTAACTGATATTAATTTTCTATATATAATTTTTATGTACAACTTCGATAAATAATAACATTTAATATCTGTGAACAAGTGTGCGTGGAGGACACAAACTTGATTATTTAAAAAAATAAATGTTGAACAACTTAGTTATTTTAATTAGAAATTTGTCAAATGAACATAAATATTAGTCGAAGTTGTGAGTAATAAAATTATAAAAAAAAAAACTTAAAATAAATAAATAGAAAAACAAAAAGAAAATATAGAACAAGAAAAAACGGAATATAATCGAATCAAAGAATGCAACCTTTTGACAAAATAAATGTTGAAATACATTTTTTATATAATTTAGGATAATAATTAAACATTAACTCATACAAACACTATTATTCAGAAGAGGATCAGTTGCTAGAGACATGTGTATAGGGTATTAAGATAGTGAAATTTCAATATTAGGAATTAAGATGGATTTTAGAAACAAATTGATTTTTATAATTATTAATAAAATAGGATTAAATTGACAATGTCCTTATTTTCTTTAGTGTCTATGTTCATATTTTTTGTTTTTGCTTTGTCTGTTAATTGAAAATAAAGAATATAAATTTTGTAATTTTTTTTCCAATTTTCTTTTATAGTTATCGAAAATGAAATTAACATTTTCCAATATTATTACTTTCATGTTTCTAAAAATGTTTTTACATGTAGTTTTATATTTTCTCTCTATTATAACTTTTAATTATACAAAATATTTTTCATCTATGCAATTTTTTTAGATTTTTTTAAAACTTAATATATGTTGATCTATTAATATATTTATCACTATTATCGGTTAACAATTATTTAAGTATGAATCTCGGTACTACTTCTTAAATTTTTTTATAAGAATTTTTATTATAAAAAGAATATTTTTAAAATTTATTAAATAATTAACCTATCTTGATTGAATATAAAATAAATGTAATATTTATTTAATAAATATAAAATGAACTTTCTTTTATTATAATAAGGATCCAAAAATATATATTTTAAGATCTTTTATAAAAATTGAGTAAATAAAGAAAATAATATAATAATTTTCTTTTAGTATTAAAATGAAAATAATAATTTAATGAAAGGAGTACTTAAAAAGAATGATATTAAAAATTATAAATATCATTAAAGTTGTTTATATTTATGATAGAAAATATTGATTTTTGGTTTTCTTAAATTAATTCAACTGATAGTTGCACAAGAATATCAGATATAGAGACACGAGTTTAAACCCACGACATTAAGTGCGAGTTCAAATCTATAATATTAAGCATAGATTCAAATCCGCAACGTTTAACATTTTTAAAAGTTAAATTTCAACCACTAAAATATTTAATAAAAAATATTAATTTTTAAATATTTAATAAATATATCTTTTCAATGTTAATCATGGCTAAGGTTGTGCTAGATAAAAAAAGAAAATATAATAATAATGGTGTGTTTTCTTTTTCAATTTTAATATGATATGGAGTATTTGTTAGTAAACTTGATTTATGATTCACATAAAAAAAACTAACCATGCTTAATTAGACATATTAATCATCCTAATTTTCTTTTTAATGTGATAGTAAGTACTAATGTTGGAACTAATAATGTATTGAATAAAATATTCATTGGATAATTATAGCCATTAGTTCAGTTTCCCGATTTGACTGTTTCGAAAACCTAAAACTGAAAACCAAACAAAAGCACTTTGGTTTTTTTCGATCTAGTATAGTGTATGAACCGAACAAAAAAATTGGTTTCTTTTTTCAATTTGGTATGGTTTGGATTATCGATTTAATTGGGTTTTTCTGATCCGATTACATCACTATGTCCTTGGTATTTTGGTTAACAGTATAGGTGGGATAATGTTGACGTTTGACGCATTTCTTAGTTTTATTTTTAGTGAAATAAATCTTCGTCTAAATTTGAAAAGTCTCCTCAAACTACTCTTGTAGTTTTCATTAATGTCATTCCTCCGCATATAATCTTTTTCTTCTTGCGTCTCATTATTATTTCTAACTCCACTCCCATGTTGGTGGGAAGGTAAGGTATTTCTAATACTGAAATTGTTATCTTTAATATTCATTAGAATGATGAGGTTCTCCCATTTGGAAAGTGTTCCTCCAATAAATTTGTATGATACCAATTGCTCTTTCTCTTCTTCATCATCAGATTGTCTCTCCTATTTGGTTACTTGGGCAATTTCTCCTCTTTTCTTCTTTGGGCTTCTTTCTCCGGACATCGTGTCTCATATTTTTCCCTTATATCGTGTCTTTTAATTAAATACACTCATTTATGTTATGGTTTTTGCTTTTATGAAACGATAATATCTGTAAGGGGGAGACGAAAATGTCTCAATAGCTAGCGGTGATGGGGAATCAACACTCCCTGGTGTGATTAAGATGTTGTAATTCTGTGTTTCGAACCATGGTTAACTTAGATAACCTCGTTAACTAGATTTTGACATCACAAAGTTGAATGTTGTGGTAGAAACTTTAATTGAATAGTTTCCACAGACAACATCAATGATCTTATAGTGATTTAAGTGATCCGAGAACATGATAACAAATCTAGGCATGATGGTGAAATCCAATACGTATCTGGTAGTTGATTGATCTAACGTTGAGGATGATACTTAGAAATCCTCTGACACTCAAGTTAGAAATTATTAAAGATGATAGATTTTTTTTATACAATAGAGGGCATAAGCCCCAAAATAACAACTAAACAAAAACAACTCTAGAAAAGGAGGACCCAACTATGTCTCATTCATACAAGAACTCTATAGACAGAGGACCTGGCTCGAAAAAACAAATGCCCCTAGTTAATTGACGTCTCCATTTACTTGCCATGTAGTGTCGTAAATTCAATTGGTGCTAACTTTATTTTTTTAAATACATGCGTCAATTAGATTGAAAGGTGTTCTGCGTTGTCAATTTTCAGTTTTAGTCCCTCAAAATATTTCCTTCAAAGAATGGTCATTCTATAATTTTCCATCCAAATTTTTGGTCCCTCTTGCAATTTATCGACGATTTACAACTTAGTAATAGAAATAGCGACAGTTTTAGCGACGATTTATTACTTAACGACAATTTTAGTATTAGAGACCAAAAATGTAGATGAAAATTTTTAGAAGGACTATTGTTTAAAGAACATAATTTGAGAGACTATAAACAAAATTAAGATTATTTGAAAAAAAAATGTTGAAAAACTTATTTATTTTGATAAGATATTTGAAAAATGAAGACAAAAGTAGTGAGTAATAAAAGTTAAACCAAAAAAAAATAGAACTTAAAGTAAGAAAAAGAACAAAAACAAAATAGAGCAAGAAAAAACGAATACAATCGAAACAAAGAATGCAACCTTTTGACATATAATAGACAGCATTTTTTTGATATAATTTGGGATAATAAATAATTAACCATTAACCACTCTACATAGCCAACAAGAAGCAACAAGCACCAGAGGCAGATCAGTTCCACACCAATCTCCAAAGCGACAAACAACTCATACAAACATTATTATTTAGATACATTTTCTTTGTTTCAACTCTCAAACAAACTGATCAAGGTATTCTTCAACGGTAGTGTACTTAACATCCGGGTACAATTCAAAAGCCTCAACTCCAAAAGATGGTTCAATCACAAAGTTAGTCTGATCTCCCTTCACAAATACAGAATGGTTAATTGATAATATCACATTGATTGGAAGAGGTGCCTCTTCAATATCCTTCAGAAGTTTATCTTCCGGAATGTAACTTTTTTCCAATGTCTTCCCAATCTTGTTCTCCCACAATGCCACAAGCTCGTTGAATGAGTAAATGTTGTTCGGTGGTTTAATGTATAGAATCTTGTTCAATGTTCTTGGATCATCCACAGCTCTAATAGTGAATGTTCCAATGTCATCTTCCTTGTTAAACACCGCTGCGCATATTCAACAAAATATACAAATCAAATAACAAACACAGAATTTACAAAGAACAAAAGAGATAAAACTGACATTAAGTTTGTTTGTTTGTTACCTTTGGCATTTCCATCACCATAAATGACAACTTTGTCTTTGGGTGGAGGTGGAGAAAATTGTCCAGGCTGAGCTAATGTGGGGAGAAAATATCCAGCAAAGTAGTTGCTAGAGACATATGTATACGGTATTCCTTCTGCTTCAATAGTCCGTCGAATTTGGACTTTGGTTTCAAACGCAGATTTTGCTGGCTCTACCGCATGGACACGATCCACATCGTTCCCAAATTCAGAAGGAAAAAATCTCTGCAAACAACATACAAGTCCTACATTAAAAATTATTCACAACAAGAACAAGAATTTATGAATTTTTACTTGTCATGTTAAACATGAGTGACATCATTGAACCTTAATGTTACCAGCCTCCTTAATAGCAGCGATAATCTTCACCTGATCCGCAAGCTGAGCCTGACCTACCGTGGAAATCACCACATCCACCTCCTTAACCGCTTTCACCAACTTCTCATGATCGTACAAATCCCCCTGCAATTTATTCCAATCTCAAACCAAATTCATAATCTACAATATCCTCATGAAAATAGCTTAAAGGAGAAACATCTTACAGGAACCAAATTGACGCCTAACGATTTGAAATGGTTGAGAAGATTAGTCTTGGCTGGATCAGAAAGAGTGGATTCTCTGATCAATGCAAAAGTAGGATGACCAGCCTTTGCACTTGCTTCTACAATGTGTTTTCCGATGTAACCTGTTCCTCCGATGAACAAAATCTTGCTCTTCTCAGCCATGGTTGTGTTGTTGAAAACTAATGCTTATTTTACGTTCGAGTTTGTTCTGTTTTGCCCTGTCTTACCAGCCTTCAATTATAAGCGAAAATTTTGTTCTGAATTACGATTACACCCTTACTTTACTTTCTTAAACTATACTCCAAGATTTAAAGTAAAAAACAAAATGAATTTAGTCCAGATTTTGACAATATAGACAAAATGATAGTGAAGTTTCAATATTTGAATTTTAGGAACAAATTAATTTTTATGGTTATTAATTTTGACAATGTCCTTATTTTCTTTTAGTCTCTATCTTCATATTTTAATTTTCGCTTTAGCTGTTACTTAAAAATAAAAAGTAAAAAATTTATGATTTTTTTCAATTTTCTTTTATAGTGATTGAAAATGAGTTTGACATTTTTAAATATTTTTATTTTTATGTTTCTAAAAATGTTTTTTCCATGAAGTTTTATATTTTCTCTCTATTATAATTTTTTACTATACAAACTATTGTTCATATATGCAATTTTTTTTATATTTTTTTAAAATTAATATATGTTGATCTATTAATATGTTTTATAAATATTATTAGTAAACATTTATTTAAGTATGAATTTCGCTACTACTTCTTCTAATATTTTTATAAGAACTTTTATTATAAAAAATCATCTTTGAAATTTATTAAATAATTAGTATATATATAAATTAAATGTAATATTTATTTAATAAATATAAAATGAATAGTTTTTTATTATAAGGATCCAAAAAAAATATAATTTATCATAAAAATTAAATAAATAAAGAAAATAATTTAATGATGAGACTTTTTTTTGACGGGTTAATGATGAGATAGTATTGAAATGAAAACGAAAACAATAATTTAATGAGAGTACCTTAAAAAGAATGACATTAAAAATTATTGTTTATATTTATATAGAAAGTACTGATTTTTTTGTTTTATTAAGGTAATTCAGTTGGTTGTGCATAAATATCACATAAATGCATATGAGTTTGAACCTGTTATATTAGGTGGGACTTCAAATCTATAACGTTAGACATATTTGAAGGTGCGAGTTCAAATTTGTGATATTAGGCACATATTCGAATCTGCGATGTTTTACATTTTTTAAAGTTGAATTTGAATCATTAAAATATTTGATAAAAATATTAATTTTTAAATATTTAATAAATATATCTTTTCAATGTCAATGATATCTAACGTCGTGCTAGATAAAAAAGAAAATACAATAATAATAAGGGTGTGTTTTCTTTTTCAATTTTAATATGATATTAAACAAATATGGAGTATTTGTTAGTAAATTTGATTTATGATCACCTTAATTTTATTTTTCATGTAATAATTACAAAGAAAACACATATTATAATTGACTTGTAGAAATCTAAATGATTTGTGAATATAATATTGAATCAAGTCTGATAGTGAATTATTTTATGTATTTGATACTTTGTTGCTCCGGCTCTGGTACTGAGGATGGTACATGCAAACACTCTAATATTTAGGTTAGAAACTGTCAAAAGTGATATATATTTTAGGATTGAAAGTGTGTACCTGACTTCTAAGGCCTTTGTTAGGCCTTATCATATGCTTTCTAGTATTTTTGTATCTAGACCTTTCTATTTGACTACCCTTTTGTAAATGACAAATGTCAGAAGATCGTGTGTCTATATCTTTTGAAGGTCCTGATTATATTGATTTTCTCTTATCATGTGTTATCCTAGGGCATGTCCATCCTAGGTCCCAAAATGCTAAAACCTTCATATGGATAAGATCCTGAATATGCGACGTCATCAGCTTGGCATTATCAGAATGATTTTATCATTTTCAATAGTTTGATATGGAAGTGCATTGTCATTTCTTGTTAATGGTTTTGAAGAATTCACCTTGGGTTAGATTATAATCATTTGGGCCTTGAGGCCAAACCAAAACAGTAGCCTCTCAAACATGGATCGATAGAGTTGAGTTGTTGTTTGTCTTTGAAATTTAACCGTTGAAGGAGCACCAATTTAGTATTTTGGTCTCATCATTTTCTCATCTTCTGAACTAGATGAGGAACATATGGATGAATCTTTAGCTGACTCTTGTCATTCACCTATATAGTCAGACTAACTAAGTACGTCTCTAGAAATTCTAGGTTTGATGCGTATTTAAGGCTTTTCACCCCTCGCACATGTGTAATAACTACAGTGTGTGAGGAAGTTGCATAATGATTTCTATCAAATTCACGTGTTCTTTGATAATTGCCTCAAATCACTTGAGTTCTTATAAGTAGGAGTTATCATTATTTGATTGTGTTCTTCACATTTTTGTGATCTCAACATGTCATTGATGTCTTTGCATTTGTTCTTTCTAAGTGTGTGTTGGCTCCAGCTTCTTCCAAACTAGAAATTGCGTGTTTTGTCTAAAGGCATCAATTTCTTTTTTTGTCTCTTTTGAGTTTCAACTTCTGTTAGGAATACTTTTCCAAGTGTTGATTAAGTTTGATTTTTGTTATTGTTCTGTCTCTCTACTGGATCTTTTGTTATGAAGTTATACATTTTTTTCCATGAGGATGGGATGAGTGACTCCCTTATGCAATGGAGGTGCCCCTTTTTTCCCCCATATATCTTTTAATAATGTTCATGTCCATGTAAGGGTGTAATCGGTTATGGACTGGTTTTTGGTCACAAATGTCTAAACTGATGATATCTTCATCGATTTGGTTGATCAGCTTACAATGTTTTTTTCAAACATTATATTCGTTTGTGTATTCTCCGCTATCATTTTTTTTATTGTATTTTTTACTATTATTTTTTCAAATAATACATTTCATATAATCTATTTCATGCTATACTTTTCAAACAATCTATAAGTTGTACTAAATCTATACAAATGAGTGTTATAATTTCCATTGCATCATAAAATAAGTTCACTATTAAATAAGAAAGTTGACACTTTCTAGTGACTAAAACAACCAAAATAAGTTCATCATCACATACAAAACTTTGCACATGAAAGTGACTAATACAAATCAAATAAGTTCACCATCAAATACAAATGTCGGAACTAATAATGGATTGAATGAAAGATTAAGTGGATAATTATAGTCATTAATTCAGTGTATCGGTTTGACGGTTCCGAAAAACTAAAGCTGAGAACCAAACCAAAGCACTTTGGTTTTCATCGGCCTGATCCGGTTTATGAACCAAACAAAAAATGGTTTTTTGCCAGTTTAGTAAGATTTGAATTATCAGTTTAATTGATTTTTTTTCTGATCTGCTTACACCCATATGTCCTTCGATATTTTGCTTAAAGTATAGGTGGGATAATGTTGACGTTTGAGCCATTTCTTAGTTTTCTTTTTATTGAATTAAACGCATCTTCGTCTGAATTTGGAAAGCCTCGTCATACTAATCTTTTAGTCTTCATTAAACTCCATTTCAGTTTCATTCCTCCACATATAATCTTTTTCTTCTTGCAATCTTATTATTCTTTCCAACTTCACTCCCGTGTTGTTGGAAGGTATTTCCAATAATGAAATTCTTATCCTTTAATGTTCATCAGAATGAGGAGGTTCTCCCATTTGGAAAATGTTACTCAAGCAAATTTGTATGCTACTGCTGCTCTTTCTCTTCTTTGTCATCAAATTGTTTCTCCTCATTGGTTACTAGGGTAACTTCTCCTTTTTTTCTGTGGAGTTCTTTCTCTGAATCTCATGTCTCATATTTTCCCATTATATTGCGTCTCTTAACTGAATACACTCCTCTGTATTGTGGTTATTGCTTTAATGAAACAATAATATTTGGACTTGTCTAGGTTAATACAATCTCATATATGCTTTGGAAGATGGGATGCTTTTAATCTGCAACGGAGGAGAAAAAAATGTCTCAATAGCTAGTGGTGACAGGGGAATCAACACTCTCAAATTTGATTAGGATGTTGTAATTCTATCTTTTGAACCATGGTTTACTTAGATAATTGTGTTAACTAAATATCGACATGCCCAATTAGATATTGGCGCAATTGTTTATTTCTTTGTTCACCATCACAAATTTGATTGTTATGGTAGAAACTTTAATGAATAGTTTCCACATACAACACCAATGATCTTATAGAGATTTAAGTGATCCGGGAACACGATAACGAATCTAGGCATGATGGTGAAATCCAATATGTATCTGGTAGTTGATTGCTTTAGCGTTGAGGATGATACCTAGAAATCTCTAATGCTCGAGTTAGAAATTATTAAACATGTTAGGTCTTTGTTAAGCTTTATAATGAGATTCTAGGGGGTTCAACCTCCATAACCTTTTATCTTTCTACAATAGTTATAAATGACAAATATCAAAATACAATATGTTTGTATCATCTGATGGTTTATTGATAGAAATATTAATAGGTGGCATCATTTGTCTAATGTCTTCAGAGTGTTATCATTATTTACAACAATTACAAATATTTGAACCTTGAAATCAAACTAAAACTGGGGTGTGAGATAGGGAGTAAAATAAATTGGGTCAAGTGGGATCGGGTTTCTAGGCCAATTGAAGATGAAGGGCTACGTATTAGAAGGTTATGGACTTTTAATTCAGCTTTATTGAGAAAATAGAGATGGAGAATCATAACAGAAAAATGGGCATTTGGTTTTCGACTTTAGTAAATAGATACAATTTAAATGAGGAGAGATTATATTCAGCGGCGAGAGATGGTTCTGGATGGTGGAAAGATGTGTATAATTTGGATTTATGAGGGATGGAAGATCCAAGTGAATATTTTGTGAATAATGTTTACAATCTTCTATCCGAAGGTACAATTGAGATGAGGAAGTCGTGGTCTAAGATTTGGAATAAAGCGATTCCATCAAAAGTATCGTATATGGTTTAGAAACTAGTACAAAACAGGATTGCAACAAAGGATAATTTAGATAGGAGGAGAATCGTTTTGCATGATCTGTTTAGGTGTGTTGGTGGTTGCGGGAGTGAGGAGTCGGTATCTCATCTTTTTTCGAATGCCAATGTTTTCT